ATAAAAAAAAAAAAAAAAAAAAAAAAAACTCCTGTCTCTAGGCGATTCGGTTGGTCTTCCGCTCTAGAAACAGGACAAAAGAAAACTATAAAGAAATAAATTCTCATTCTCTCTCTCTCTCTCTCTATAAATCTCTCTCCATCTGGACAACATCCCAATCATCTCTCTAGAAGACTTTTATAGAACCCACCACCGCGGGTCCCACCTTGCGGGTACACCACATCCATCCAGTTTCAAGCCAACCGGCCACAGTCCCTCCTCACTATAAAGCAAGCAGCTAGCTTACATGCAAACCCCCTTGCACTCTCTCTCTCTCTCTTAACTTTCTCTCACTATAACCAAATCCCAAAAATGGCGGACTACGCGGGCGCCGCCATGTCCCTCTCCCAAGGCGGCGGCAGAGACCTCTCCCCGACCTCCGACGACCAAAACAACGACTCTGACCAAAGCCCCCGAAGCCTCCAGGCGAAGACGTCTTCCAAGCCCCGCAGGATGGCTCTCCCCCTCTCCTCCTCCTCGCCATTGTCGGAGACGACGAGGAAGCCGCGCGGTCGCCCCCCGGGCTCCAAGAACAAGCCCAAGCCCCCCATCGTCATCACCAAGGACTCCGACTCCGCCATGAAGCCCGTCGTCCTCGAGATCTCCGCCGGATCCGACGTCGTCGACTCGGTAATCCAGTTCGCAAGACGGCGGCGCGTGGGCATCACGCTCCTCAGCGGTTCCGGGTCAGTCTCCAACGTCACCCTCCGCCATCCGATGTCCCACGCACCCGCTCTCTCCCTCCACGGCCCCTTCACCCTCCTCTCTCTCTCCGGCTCCGTCGTGGGCCCCACCAACACCAACACCACCTCCTCTCCCACAGAGACGACAACGTCGTCGTCTTCCTCCTCTCCAACGACATCGTCGAATCCGTCGTTTGGGATATGCCTGGCGGGGGCGCAGGGGCAGGTTTTCGGTGGGATCGTGGGCGGGAAGGTCATAGCTGCGAGCGCGGTGGCGGTTGTCGCAACGACGTTCGTTAACCCGTCGTTTCACAGACTCCCCGGAGACAATCAGGACAATGTTGAAGGTACTCATAATCACGATCATCAGGAGATCAAGCCTTGTGTCGTTGGCGGGACCCACGAGACTACTTACACTAGTACAAGCAGTGCTTGTACTCATGTGGTGAGTCCGACGCCGATCAATTGCCAGCTCTCTTCTCCCGATCATCATGTCATGCCTAGTTGGGGCCACTCTTCTCGTTCTCCTTATTAACATCGACGAAAACAACAAGACAAAGAACAAGATTTTAATTTTTGTTACCAACAATATTGTTAGTTTTAAATCTCTGTCTCGTGTTCTAGTTGCCATTTTAGTGTTACAATTATTAAGCTAGCAAAATATTCATATTAACTAGTGGATCCCATCTTTTTGGTCCGTAGTTCTAAGGGGATATATATAGCTACATAGCTAGCTTAGGGTTGATTATTGAGG